TGAATATTTTTCAATTATTTGTAATTTCTTTTTGTTTTTATTTTCAATTATTTCGATTTTATATTTGAAATTTAAATTGATTTTTATATAGATTAATATTATTAATAGCTTTATGAATATAATGAGAAAATGTGAGAAAAAAGAAATTGTTTATTGTTTAAAAAAGCAAAATTAAAGTTTATATTTCGATTCTATCACTCATTTCAAGTAATATTTTCCATATATAATTAATTTATAATCCATTTAATATAACTTAAGCAAGGGAGTGGAAGAGGAAAGGGAAGGGAGGAAGAGAGAGAGAGAGAGAGAGAGAGAGAGAAGAAGGATGATGAGGCGAAAGAATTAATTTTTAATTATTAATTTTTAATTAGGGAAAGGAGAAGTATGATTTCCTCTAGAGTAAATATTTTGATAGATTCAATTATCATTCGTAATAATTTTTAATGCAAAACATTCAAACATATGCCATTTTCATCGACTAATTAATTATTGTTTTAATTAACAATATTGATTTTACTGAATGATAGAAATGTAAAATAAAAATCGTAGCAATTTTTTCCAATTTAATTTTTACTAAGTAATTATTTATTATTTCAGATATTTATCTACCTGTATCATAATCAAAAAAAAAAAGCTACGAAATTTAATCATAATTTTTATTGATTGATAATGAAAATTAACATAAAAATTGAATAATATCAATATCAATTACCGCGGTAATGATGTGACAATGGTGGCGGTATTGTCATAAATAGGAATAATAAAATTTTAGCAAAAATTATTTGAAATAAATGCATGGAATGGTTAAATACTAATGAAAATGATATTACAGAAGGAGAAGGATCTTGAACTTGCTGCTAAAATTGGCCAATCATTATTGGAACAAAATCATGAATTACAAACTAGGTAATATATTCTATCTTTATTTTATAGTTTATTATATCTTATCAAAACTAAATAATTTATTTTATAGTTTATTATATCTTATCAAACTAAAATTTTTAATGACTGAAATATATCTCATAAAATTGTCCTACTGATATACTTCATTTAACTGGTCAATTAATTAACTCTATCAATTAATCTCTATCATTAAAAGTCTCCATCCGTATTAATCACTATCAATATTAATCATTTTGAATTATATTATTTTATATGATTAGCAGGATTATTTTCTTGATCTTAGTTATAGTTATTTAACATGAAATTAATACGGAACGAAGATTTTAAATTTTTTAAAAAATTTTAAAGATTTAAAATTTTTAAATTTCAGGAACGAATTTTTAGAAGAAGCATTAAATGCATCCAATGATGTAGTGATACAATTGCGCCATGATTTACAAATGCGCTCAAATCTTTTACGTTTTTATGTTGATTATGATATTGATTTAGATGGATGTACAGCAGGGTTTGTTTCTTTTATCAAAATTATCAATTCATTAAATGAAATGTAAATTGTTTGTATGTATAAATTTTATTATTTAAAAAGAAATAATTATAAAAAAAAGGAATTTTTGTTAATTTCATACTTTTTACTGCAGAAAAATTTTATGAAGTATTTGAAAATTTGAATTTATTTCATTGTAAATTTAATTTTTTCTCTTGTGATTGAATAAAATTGGCAGAAACTAATTATATACTTTCATCTCCTAATGATGAAAATTTGAATAATTAACTAATTAAAGAATGCAGTAAATGAATTTTAGTGATAACTAATTGCATTGTACTTATCATGAATCAATTCGTTTAAGTTTTATTTTTAATCAAAAAACTGTTTATTTATTTTTTCTGATCTTTTCTTTTTTTGCTTATCCATCATAAAAAAAGAACTCAGTACCAATGTTTTTGTGCTCAATTTTTTCAATTGTTCAATTGTTCAATTTCAAAGTCCAAAGGTCACCATTGAAAAAAGCCAGGAAGAAATCGTCAAAATCTTTTGAAAATTTTGATAATTGTAAAACTTTCGTAAATGTAAAAATTGGTGAAATTAGTCTGTTCAATCATAAGTTAAAAGTCTTGCACAACAATTTGTATTTTTGATAATTTGAATAAAAAATTTAATTTTAAGAGGAGAAAAAATTATTAATTTACATCGATAACAATCTTAATTTGATAATTAATTTTTAATTCATTTAAACGTTGCACATTTCTTTGTAAAATCATTAATATTATTATGTATCAATTAATTCGAAATGAATAATATAATTTAATATGATTGCATTTTAAGAAAATTCCACGAAAGAAATTAATTGTTCAAATTAGAAAGGATACGATCATTAAACAACTTCAAGATTGGTTTTAAATCTATTAAAATATGAGGATTAAATTAATACATATTAATATTTGTTGGAATTTCTAATCGTAATTGAAAAATAATAAATAAAATAGGAAATTGAGAAGTTTTTTTTACAGGCAATCAAATAGCGAAAATTTTCAACGAAAAATTAAGCTATTGGAAGATGAGAATCAAAGTTTGAAAAATGAGGTATATTGAAAATTTAACAAAAAATAACATTACTTTATAACAAAAATTATTTTTTATCATTATAATTTAATGGATGTTAAACTATTTCTCTTTTTTTCTTTTCCTTCAAAAATTCAAAAATGTTTTGGTAAGTTTATTAAAATTTCAAATTCAAATTTTAATTTTTATTTTATAATATGAAAAGATGAAAGTTATATTCTCTTGTAAATTGTTGATCCTTTTGTAGTATCTAAAATACATACTGTTTAAAAATTGTCATAAATAAATTATAATCAAATAAATAGAAATTAAATAATTCACTAATTAAATACAAAAATCTTTTTTGAGTAATTTCTTTCATGCATAATTTTTTTTGTGCAAATGCTTATGACATTCTTTCTTTTAAAAATTTATTGATGAAATTTTACAGTCAACAAATTTGAAGAAAATTTGTTCGGAATACGAAGAAAATGAACGATTGCATATTTCGGAATGGACAAAACAATTGGATACAGCTAATGAGAAGGTAATTAATTCCCTTCAACAATAATTAATTCATAAGTAATGCAATGGATGAAATAGTTATGTAGAAATTTTAAAATTTTTATTATTTTTTGATTATTTATTTGTTTAATGTCCACATTTATTTATTTACTTGTTTGTTTGTTTATTTGTTTATTTATTTGTTTTTTACTTATTTGTTTAATTTATTTAGCTTATTTAATCAATTAATTAATCAATTTATTCGTTTATTTAATTAGTCTGTTTATTTGTTTATTTAATTTATTTATTTGTTTATTTATTTATTTGCTATTTATTTATTTATTTATTTATCCATCCATTTGCTTGTTTACCTATCCACTTAGTCATTCATTTGCTTGATTATTTACTTGTTTGTTTATTTATTATTTGTTTATTTACTTATTTGCTTACTTATTTACTTATTTATTCATTCATACATTTATTTATTTATTTATTTATTTATTTAATTATTTATTCGTTTATTTACTTATTTGTTTGCTCATTTATTTGCTTAATTATTTGTTTACCCTTTATTTATTCACTTATTTATTTGTGCATTTATTTATTAATCTATTTATCCGTTCATTTATTAACTCACTTATTCATTTACTTCTTTATTCATCCATTTACTTATTTATTTATTTACTATTCATTTACATCTTTAATCTACTTATTTATTTACTTTTTTATTTGTTTGTCTATTCACTTATTTGTTATTCACTTTACTTAAATTTCTTAAAATAAGGAATTCTTTTCTTTTTTGAAAAAAAATGTTCTAAAATTTTAATATTTATGATTCTTTATCATTTTATATTCAAAAATATTATCAATGATACTTACATTTTCCAATTTTCTATGAATTTACTATGAAATGATAAGGAATCGTTTTAGTCGTAAATATTAAAACTTAAACTTTTTCATAACTTTTTTTCAAAAAAAAGTATATTTAAATGAAAATATTAATTGATTAATTAATGGAAAAAAATTTTTTTTACTGCTTTAGATTTGTCATTTGCAACATTTACTTGTTGAAAGAACGGAAGAATGTGGAAATCAAAATGTTGAAGTGGAGCGACTTCTCAGAGAAGTTGCTCTACGATCAAATCATGAAAAAGCGGTATATTGATTACTTATTCCAATTTAACGGTTTTTTTTTTGTTTGCAAAATTATTAATTAAATATTAAATTGTTGAAATGAATTAATTACATTTTTTATATATTTATAATTATAGTAAGGTTATTTTCTTCTTTTTTTTTAATTTCAGCCAAAAAATGAAATTTGAAAATTGTAAATTTCAGCTTACAAGTGAAACTATCAATTTGCATCAACAATTGCAAGATGCGCTAACAATACATGAGGGACTTACAGCGCAAGTAATTGACTTGCAGGAACGTTACACGGAAGTTTTGGCAATGTTGCATGATGCAGAAGAAGAGTTACGGACTTTTCGGCAAAATCAATCCGCTTATAGGTGACGTTTAATTTTTCATTCTCAAAAATTGGTAATAAATTAATTAATTTAATAAGTTCAAACATTTTATCACCAAAATGTAAACAGTACTGATAAGAAGTGAAAGTTTATGTTTGATTTCTATTTTATTTCTTTCATTTAATAACTTTTTTTTTGATATGCAAAATAAACAAATTAAATGTTTTTGAAATTTTGCTGAAATATTTCGCTTAAATAAAATAATTTTCCTTTTTTTTGAGAGAAAATAATGGAAAAGAATATGAAATCAAAGAATTTATTATTATTTTATTGTTAAAATTTAATTTTAAAAATTATTCAAATATTTCTAAATTTCGACGTTTTTTTTTTTGAAAAACTTGAAATTATTTGTTTGATGGATGAATTTGTTGCTTTCAAGACTAGCATTCCGGATTTAGATTATTATTTAAGACTAGCATTCCTAATTCAGTTTATGATTTAAGGATTAGCATTCCTGATTTATTTTATTGATTTTATGGATAAGCATTCCTGGTTCATTTTATGATTTTAAAGACAAACATTCCTGATTCAGCAGTTTATGATTTAAGATCTAGCATTCCTGATTTGTTTTGTAATTTTAAGAACAGGCACTCCTGATTCACTTTATGATTCATTGGCAAGTGAAATTGAAGCATCAGATAGTGGTTTCTATAGTGCTGCAATTAATAGTCAAAAGTATGAAATGTATGATTTTTTTTATTAATTTAAATAAATAAATATACGAATTACTTATTATTATTTGTTATTAAAATTTGTCATAATTAATTCATTAAAAAAAAAAAAAATTCGATTAATTTTATTTGATTTTGTTGTTAAATTCCAATTTTTTTTTTTTATTTTGATTTTTTCTCCAATAGGATATCGGGAAAAGTGCAAAATATGCAATCGGAAATGGATATGACTTATTTATCGAATAAATTAAAAATGATTAATAAAACTCGTAAAATGAATAATTCAAATGTATTGAAAACTACTCGTACAGTTGCTACTCTTACCGATCCATTACCATCCGATCAATATCAGCAAAATTCACATAATGATGATAATGTAAGTTATCATTTTGAAAGTTTTTTCTTTTTTTTTAAATATCAATTGAAATATGTTTATATTTTTCGAATAACTCTTCTATCTATATATTCTGTTACTTATCATTTCATTTAAATACTCAAATTCGAAATTCTTTTTTTTCTATTCAAATTAAATCATTAAGGCAAGCATTCATTTCACTTCTCTATGATCGATAATGTATGTAGTCGGATAATTTAAATGAATAGTTAATGATAGTTTGGGTGATCGATAACCTATAATCGATAATCTATATGATCTATAGTCGATAACCTATATGATCGATAATATGCAATTAGTGATAGTTTGTACGATCGATAACTTATATGACCTATAGTTGATAACCTATATGATGGATAATCTGCCATTAGTGATAGTTTGTACGATCAATAATCTATAATTGGATAACTTAAATGGATCGCTATGAACCTCTTTTGAAAACCTTAAATAGGATAGTTAAAAAAAAATCCTAAATATATTTGCATAATCTGGATATAAATAAGATAGATGTGTTGATTGTATGTGAAACTTATTTCAAGTTTAATAATTTAAAAAAAGAATTTTTTTAATTAGAAAAATTGGAATTGAAAGAAAGATTTTTCCTTTTAAACAGTTTAAAAAAATAAAAAAAATTTTGAAGTATCCAAAATGAAGCAATTTTTAAATTATTAGTTTGCAATTAAATTTGTTTAAGTTAATTTCAATTTTGAAATTCATCCATTTCCAGATAAATAACAACAACTAACAAGTATTTTGATGAATTTTTAATTTTAGGTAATTGATGTACCGAATAATACTTTTGCAAAACTACTTCGACATTCTTATCTTTCTCATTTCCCGATATCTTCTTTGGGAGATCATTCAATTGATCCTAATACTTCAGCAGAATTAGAATCATTGTCAACTTGCAAACCTGAAATGAAATTTTTTGAAGTTAATGCTAGTACAAGTGCATCATCAATGCAATCAAAACAATTTTTTGATGAAAATGTTGGTTTTATTTTAAATTTGAAAATAGCAAAAGAAAAAATTATCTCATAATAATGATTTTTTTTTCTCAAAATTTCAAATATTTGAAATTCAATTTTTTTTCCTTAAATTTTATTGCCTTTTTCTCTAATAGGGAGAGAGAGAGAGTGAGTGAGAGGGTGAAACTTTTCAAAAATTTCGACTAACTTATAGGATATTTTAGCAGCTTTCTCTTCATGATAGGAAGAGAGAGAGAGAGAGAGCGAGAGAGTGAAACTTTTCAAAAATTTCCACTAATTTTATAAGATATTTTACAGCATCAAATTCGATTAATGTATGATTTCAATCGAATATCACAATATAATTCTGGTTCAACTAGGAAAATAGGATCAAATGATTCATTATCTGATTATGTGGAACCAAAAATGGGTGAACCAGGACGACCCGGTACACGTGACCTAGATTGGTCAATTCAAAAATTAAATATACGAAAACAGGTAATTTTAAAAAATAAAAATTTTTTTTCCAACAAATATTCAAATTTTACACGTCAATTTACTAATTTTAGTGATAATTTATGTGATATTTGAAATAAAATAATCAATTCACACAATATCAATTATTAATTTCTTTTCTAAAAAAAAAGATCGAAAGAGAATATGCAAGATTTCGTCGAGAACGTGGTTTACCGCCTTCCAATACATCATTCTTCAATATTTCATCAAATAAGGTAAGGTATCAATTTCAGAAATTAAATATACGAAAATAGGTGACAATTTCGTTTCTTTTTTTCTTGTAAGTTTTAAAATTTCATTTTGTATGAAAATTTCATCATTAATTTTATTTCTAAAAAGGAAAAATTCATCATCTTTTATATTTATGTCAACATTTTTTTTTTTATTTTCGATTAAACAAATTTTTTCTGATTTTTATAGATTTCTCGAAATTCGATGACAACTTATCATTGGTCACAAATCATCCAACAACAACAACATCAAACATTATCTTCAGATGAATTACAAAAGCATAAATTAACCAATGATTTATCACAGATATTTAAACGTGATAAAATCCTATCAAATATTGGTTTATTTGCTTTACTTCATGATAATCTTACTCAAGGTATTGTACTTCGTTCAACGATACCAATAACACCACCAGTTACACCTGTACAACAAAAACGTGAAACTTTCACAGGTGAATTATTATTTTTATAATCTTTTTCTTTTAATAAAATTGAAAATTTTAAATTCTCTAGAATTTAAGAATTGAACGAAACAAATAATTGAGAGAAAAGGATAAATCAAATTTAAAAAAAAAAGAAAAATCAACTATGATGAAAAATTATTGAAAGTAAATTAAAATGTAAAAAAAAAGATAGCATAATTCAAATTTTCAAATGATGATAGCCATTTTTTAATTATAATAAATGTAGTAATAAGTGTAAGAAAAAAAAAGGAAACCTTTCCTCTAATAGTTTCCCGATATTTCCCATAAAATGTATTGATTCATTTTTATTTTATTCCTACTCTAAAAAGTTCATGATTGTTTTATCAATTTGAAATATTCTCTCAAGAAAGAAATTTTGGAAGGGAGAAATTTTATTCTTTTACTAGAATTGATTAATTATTGAATTAATCTCATACCTATTTGATTAAATGATAAATTATAGTTGCATTACTATTTTACTCTTTACTATTCATTATATTTTACTATTTACTATATTTTTTACTATTTTTCAATTATAGTTCCTAAAGTTCATTTCACTCTTATCTTATCATTTTTTTGGCATAAAAGTTTACTTTTATTAATTCAATTAAAATAAATCAAATTTTCTTTAACAGGTAATGATATATCATTAAATTCATCATCATATCTTTTGGAAGCACTTGACCTGTATATTATACCATCAAAAGTATCGCCGCTATCATTAACATCAAAACAATTGGCTCAATTTCATAGTATGCATAATTTGCATCATCATGATTTTTTGGTGACAACAACAACAACAACAACAACAACAACAACAACAACGACAACGACGACAACAACAATTTTTTTACCAGAACAATTGAAAAATATTTCAAGAAAATGTAATATTTTAAGTGATAATGATAAATGTAAAAGTTGGAATTACTAATAGAATATCATCGATTGCTCTATTTTTTTTTCTTTTCTCTTACATAACACATCTCTTAATTTTTATTTAATTTCAAGTTTTGAAGAAAAGAAAAAAAGAAAACTATGATATGAATATTTATGTTTAATTAGTAAATCAATTAAAAATTATCAGAAAGAAAAATTTAGAAGTGAATAAAAAAATTCATGCTCTCAATAAATTCTTCCTTTTTTCTTCACATTATCATTTCTTATCATAATAAGATTTAATCAAAAATTCTTACAGATAACATTTCCATTTACTTTGTATTTTTCCTTTTTTAAACATAAATCTGATTTGTCCATTAAATATTCTCTTAATTGATATCATTTTGTACATATTCATTATCTATAAAATTATGCAAAATTTGACAATAAT